CCAACACTTCTTCAGAAATGCCATCGACCGGTTTCAACTTAGGATGGCGCAAGAATATGAAGGACTAAATCATCTTGTGGGTTTAGTTTTGGGGGAGGTTGTTTGGGGCTGACGGCTTGGCGGTTTGCGCAGTGACCAAGAGTTGCCAGCACACGTACAGTAATCACAACTATAGTGCCACCAAATCACCAACATTACTTGCTTGTCGTTGACCTTGAAGCCATAGCTGCCATTCTTGTACAAACCTTTGCTGACTTTGAGAGGACGATTCTGCTCTGGGGGCGATGGCATGGAAGCCGCGGGCTTTTTCATTGGAGGCCCCTTGCCCTCAGCCACAGCCGGTCGCTTCAAAAGCTTTGAAGGTTGGGAGCCAGAGGATTCTGTGACTGGCTTCGGCGGCTTCGGTGATGGTTTCTTCTTCGGAAGCACTTTTGATTTTGGTTTCGGTTCTTTTACTTTCGGTTCTTGAGGCTTCTCAGGAGTTTCCTCATCCGAGAGCTTGTCCACAGGTTGCAGAACCATGGCGCAAAGAGCCAAATACCCTGCCATTCACTAGGTATTGTTGGAGTTCGTTTTGAGCAAGCCAACTCCAGAAACAAACAAAAACCGATGCGTGGTCATGTCGTATGCTGTGTGCCTGCGAATCACCCTCCGCGCAGGAAGACAGACAGCCAAGCACGGACCCCTAGTTGATCTTCGCCGATTTTCCGAGTTGCTCGCGAGTTGATCTTTCCCTGGTCCAAGATCAGGCACGGGTTCATCCCAGCCCCAGCAAAAGCCACCAGACAAGGTGTGCATCAAAATAGCTATAGGATAGGCTAAGGATTTAAGTCCGCCATCCACCCAAGAGCTAGCACACTTCTGGTGAAAGGATGCCCCTTCCTACTTGAGTGAGACTGCAAAGCCAGCCTTCAAAGAGACAGTTCCAAGCAAGTAGTATTTCGGTTTGATCGGTGTCAAGACTGCTGGAACGCTTTCATCCACCTTTGCCTGAGGCAGAACAATGGCAAAGCGAGATTCGGCAAGGGGCACTCAGTTGTTGGACAGCATGAGGTCATCACAAAAACCCTAATGGTCAAATAGTAATATACATTATCTAGATGATGATTTTTTGTAACCGTTGCACCTCCCAAACGATACACGCGTTGCTTCCTCGCGGAAGCTGTGAGAACTTGGAGCGATAGACAGCCCCCAATTGCGCTGCCCGCATGTTGATCCTCTCTGTGTCATTTCCCAAGTCCTTCGCGACGAAGGCATTGACCATGGGGTTGCAAGACACGGTGTAGCGGTACTGCAACATGCGGTTGTTTCCTTCCTCCGAGACCTTCGCAAAAGTTGGAACCAACCCATGTTTGTTGCATTTAGCGTTGACATATGTTGACAGCATTTGTCACTTTAGTAACTTTAGTTTCACAGCAATTGCATCACGCCTGTGGTCTCAAGCTGTGGTCCACCACCCTTACTTCAGTGACACCTCGATGCTTGGCCACGTCACAAAAGATGTCTGCCACGGTGCGCAGGTGCTTGTCCAAAGCTAGCAGCGTTCGGTCATCCTTGATGATCCAGGGTAAATGGCCATCAACACAGTCTCCTTCTCCTTGACGCTTTTACATGCACGGTTAGCGCTAGCTTTACAGTCGATGTGGAATGACTTTTGGCCACTACAGTCCTGAGGGAACCTCTGAAAAGCTTCCTGTGTTAAATCCGAACAGTTCCCCGGCAGGGATGTCCACTTCACGGCTGCCCACATTGCGCAGCCACACCGAATTGTCCTTGCCAACGCAAATCTTGACACCTTGCACCCGTGCGAGGTCAGCCGAGGCAATGGTCCTGAATGTGTGAGCAAACCCAGTCCACTGAGATTGACATGTTTCTTGTTTTCGTTTTTATTTGAACTTGAAATCGTGGGATCATTCTTGAAAACGACACAAAGGAGACAGAAAAGAACAAAGGGATTCAAAATGAATGTAGAACTGTGAACTGAGCAAATCTCAGTGACTCTGTAGAACTCTCAAAGCCACTGGTAGGCAAGGGAGTCAAGGCCAGTTTCCTGCGGATGTTGATGGGCGGATTGGTGCCCCACTCTGGCGAAGCCAAGGTCCGAGTCTGGTTCTCTGGGGCTGAAGCAGAGGTAGAAGCTGCAGGACTGGCAGTTCCCAAATGATGCGATCTCAAGGCCGTGGACAAATCTGCATGGTCATCGAGCTTGGACATGGCCTCCTTCAATCCTGCTTGCCCAGCATACTTCTGTTGTATCAAATCAGGGATCCTTAGATTCATGCAATCTCATTCACAACGAATCCTCGAATCAAACCGCCAGCACATGCATAACATAGTTCCATAGACGCTTCCATAAGACATACCTGCACACTTGCCTACCGACCTACATACAGACATGCGCATAAAACGGAAACACAAACATAGTGGCATCCACACAACTGCATCCACACATGCATATCACACAATAGATTTCAAGTATACCGATACTATGATCCTGATGTGGCACTAATTCATTCAAAGAGCTTGATCTCCCCATCCACCACTGACAAGCATTCCAAGCTTGGAAGCTCCTGGTGAAAGCCGCTTGCGGATCGACTTTTGGGACCAGCTTTCTCGCACCTGTCCCAGAAGCCAGCCAAAGCTTTGCCAGCCAAAAGATCCACAGAGGCGGTGAGCTCCTTCGCATTGTCATCGTGGTAGACCCCCATAAACCTGACATCCACAGTGTCCTCTTCCAACAAGTAGGCCTGCTGCATCTCCCAGCATGCCAGCGACCACTCAGCAAATCTGCCATAAGCTTAATAAGCAATGTTTCAATGACTTTGTTTAATTTGGGTTGCTTGGGACACCGTGGGCTGACATGGCAACACACGCTAAATGCGATTTGGTTCACTGGATGTGCCTGGAGGGCAGCAAATCGACCACCAACAGCTTTTGTGTATCGTTAGCGACACCATCAATGAGTTGCTTGATGATGGACACCGTGGCTTTCACTCCACGTTGCTGCACCTAGGATTTGCTTGAAGGTTTTCAATTTTGGGCACTGTATTTGAAGGGCATGATATGGCATGATCCATGTAGTCATGAACCTTCGGAACACTCTTTCTGATCCTTAAGTTCAGGCTAGAATCGCGCCAATGAGGCGCAAGCGAATGTTCTGGATCTGGGTTTTGCAGCTCACCCACTCTGCTCCTCTCGATCTCCGTGATTGACCCGAGGAGGGCCTTGCTGCGAGAGAAGGCGCCCGAAGTCGATCCACACATCGCTGCAAGGCCTGACATGCAAGGGGTGTTGCTGCAAAACCGCTCAAAACCGATAAATGTTGTTTTGGGCATGACGCGTAGCAGGCTAAAAATTGAACATACATCCAAGGTACATTGTTGCGACTTCTTTCGCCGGTCCCTTCCATGGACAGAATCACTGAAATTCAAGCTGATCTCGAAGACATCCATGTACCTTACATCACTAGGAACATCTAGGAACATTTACATGGCTTTGTGTAGAGAACCTGCTGAATGTGAAAGGAAGGGAACGCATTCAAGATACGCTCCCACTTTGTCCTCCAACAAACGCCGGTTCTTCAAGACAACATCTCTCTTTGTGGAGGTGTGCGTCTGCGGAAGGCAGAAGAAGGCCATCGTCCGCGCATTGCCGGAGCTGACTGTCTGGGCAATGTTGATGCTCTCGTCAATGGAAAGCTGGCCTGGGCCCCATACTTACTTTGAAACAAAACTAAGCTCTCTTTGAGGGTCTAATGATAATTTCCATCATTGTTTGTGTTTTTCCTAACCCTATGTCCTCAATATTCCTCAATGACCAGCCAGGGCGCGGGAAGGCCACAAGGTGGCGTCCACAATCAGGATAGTCAGCCTATGGGCTCAAAGCTACCAAAGGACTCTTGTGGGCGGGTGCTTTGTTATCCAACGATTTGTGTTTACATTTGAGACTGACAAGGAACCCGTCGGGTCCCATATCCTGTTGCATGTTGACAATCAAGCTATGGGAAAGCACAATTGAGGAGTGAGATGTCATAGTATGCTTCTCCTTGGTGAATCCCGCAAGCCATTCCTTGCCCTTCATGTACCGGTCGTTGATGTGCTTGTAGTCCAGGGCTGCCTGCCAAGATTGGCAATGAAACACACTCCACCCACACAGTTTCATCAAGATTGTTTTTTATCCCTGAAACTTCCCATCGAATCGTATTCCAAGATGAAGATGTTCCAAGTAAGTCGCACCTTGTTTATAGCGCGAACTGCCGTGTACATTTGGTTGATTAAAGATGGAAGCCTGCTGCTGCGCGTACAAGTTGAATGCACCTGCCCAATCTTTGAGCTTCAAGAGGTCACCATCGATTTGTAGCTGACACTGCTGCCACGTGGTTTGGAGCAATTGCTGGGAAAGCCTGAGTATCTTACGGGCCGTTCATGACACGAAGACAGCTCGAGTTGCGCCAGGCTGCTCGGCGGCTTTGCTGTGGGCACTCTCTTCGACCTGTCGGGGACGGGGAACTCAAGCAGCGCGCAGTCTAGGGGTTTGGGTGCCTAGGTGGTGCCTGGTTGTGGTAGCGCTGGATATGGTTGGCAAAGATGCTCACTTTTGAAAGTGATGCAGGAGGAACTGAATGTTCCAGCAATGCCTGCAAATCGGCATCCCCGTGCCGCAATTCAAACCTGAGGCTCCAGGTTGACCGGCCGGGCAACCCAGTCCGATGTGAGATTCATCACCAACATGAGGCCAAGTTGTTCCATCTATTTTACATAGTAAGTAACGTTTTGTGGATCTCAGTGAGGCAGGCATCCGCAAAGGTTGTCGGTACTGACGATGTGAATTGATCCAAGCATGCCAAAAAGGCGCCGCAGCAACGATGCATCATTTCCTGAGATAATCCAAGGCAAAAAGATTAACGCGTAGAAACACTGAGTAACTTCAGACACTTCAGAGCAAATCACGCAAAATCCGCGTTCATCCAAACTGATTTTCACAGGTGGAGGCTCCACTTCCTTCTGGTTCCATGGCCGCCTCTGCTTGGCCGGCAGGGCAACCCAGTCCGCTTCGAGCCGGGTGACAAGGAGACGCAGTAACCCCACTGAGTTGGTTAGCTCGGATTTCCAAGGCAAGAGAATGCCCGACGCAGAGCAATATCCAACATTGAAGACGTTTGCACTGATGGCGTCATGGTTCAAGAACCGAGGCTGACCATACTTCCTGCACAAATCCGATAGCGCGATACAAGACTACACCTTGTACATGTTGTAATGTGACAGTTGTTTTTTGGCAAGCTTGCAAACTATCCCTGCCTCACTAGCAACGTTAAAGATTCCTTGATCTCCCCCGGTATTTTCTGAAGCAAATTGATCGCAGCAGTGCTTTCTTGTTTCCCCAATGAGTATGCCGCAATGTGGCTTGCGATGGCTTCGTTGGCCTTGCAAAATGACAATAACATAAAGTCCATGAACCTTGCTGGATAGCTTTGTCATGAGATGAAATCACATTGCAAATGTCCCTAGCAACAACCACAAGGGCCTCCAAGCTCTGAACTGTGTGCTCAGGTGAGAGTCCTCCACGAACCATCATTTCAAGCTGGTGTACCAAGTTGAAGGCGTTTGGTCTGCGCCGGATCGATGACGTGAGGCTCACACCTTGTGATGAACACCCGCAAGATCACAAGCGACAGCTCAAACATGTATGCGCTTGTCCCAAACCTCGGTTGGTGTTGATGATCTGTGTGAGGTCCGCTGTGGTCACCGTTGCGTAGATGGCCCCAAAGGTCCTGCAAGTCCAGGAGGCTCTAACCAACAAACACGCGAATAGTCACAACGATTTTGCAGTGGAACACTGAGGATTTTGCAGGGGAACACGGATGCCCACAAGTGCCGGCAAGGTACTGCTTGACGTTGTTTGGAATGGCCTGGCCATGTAAAACTATGGGACAAAGCAAATTATATTCAGCAACAATAAACCACATTCAGGACATCTGTCCTGGCCTGGAGCAGGGAATCATCTTGGAAGGCTGCCAGACAAACACCAAGGAATGATATGCAACGGTTCCATCCCTTCACCATAAATGCTAAGCCCGGTGAAAGGAGGTCAGGCGCATCAATATTGCAGGCTTCTTTGCTGATGCCAGCCATTGGAAGTTGGAGCCAACAGCTCTGGGCGAGCGTGACGCAGATTTTCTCTACGCCCGGAAGGTCTGCGCATGTCAAAAAGCCATTGACCAGGATGAGCTGACAAAGGGCATGTTGGACCTCCTGGTTTTACACTGTTTTTTGAGTCGGAAGCATTCCACATCGCCACTTTAAAGCGTACAAAATCGTACAAAGATCAACTAATCAGTTAAGTCTCGCTGTCGGCGGTTCCTCGCAAACCATAGTCTGCTCGGTGAGGAAGCTGCCAGGGTCGCAGCACAGAACCTCCAATGCGCTGGAGGTTGTCCAAAGTGGCATACTGCCTCAAAGAAAAATCATTAGTAGACGGTGACGGTAGTAAGTACACATGATATGGAAGCTTGAGAGCCACACACCTTTGGGTCAGGCGGAAAGTTCACATCCATGAACTTGTAAAAGGCACATGAGCTGGCCTGCCAAAAGCATTTGTTTGTCGTATGAACGGCGGTTGTTTCTCGCATTCAGAGCAGCCCCTGCCTCACTGGACAAGAACTCACTGAGCACGACATCTAGTGTCTTTTGGGCATCGAAGATGTTCACCTTCCTAGGTTCACTGTCAATAATAATCTAGTGTTTGAAACACGAAGTGCACTGTTGTTTTTGAAACTCGAAGTGTTTATTGTTTCTGGGTGTTTGCTTCTTGACTACAAGCGGCGCCCACTGCTCGAAGATCTTCAAGTGTGGTAGCGCCAGTGCATCAGCCGGAACCCCCGGCAAATCGCCTGTAGTCTTCTTCTGCCGCTTTGCCGATTGGGAGCCATCTGAAGGTCTCTTCTTCGGAGCCATGCTCGTCCTGGCATGGGTGGAAGGCCAGCAACAAACATTGACTTGGTTTGTGAAGACACGAAAGTGAAAAAGCACTGTTTTGTGAAGAGCACCACTTGTATACCCCAACTTCTGCGATGCACAGCCATGCTTGCTGGCAGCATCACTGCTGTGGAGACAACCCTCCACTCGGAGTTGATGCCTAGAACAGATGGTTTTCTAGAACAGAAAGGGTTTCCTATCGTTTTTTTGTGTTGGACAATTTTTCACAAACAGCAATGGTATGGGAACACTCCAGTTCGCGAAGAAAGACGACAACTTTATTCACAAAAATCATCGGTTCAACCTTCATCCAAGGTTGCACCACACCCGAGTGAGTTGGACATAGCCAAAACCCACGCGAATCCATCCATTTTGTGAAGAAATACGTCAACTTTATTCACAAACCACCTTGGTCCCTGAAACAACAAATGTGTGATGAAATGGCCCCGCACAAAATCATTCCTTGCAAAGAACTCTCTCCAGAATACATACCACTTCGACCCAGTTGGCCAGTGTTGGCTGTAGGAAGTTATGTTTTTCTTGTTGGTACTTGTTTGATAACACATTCACAAATTCATTGCCGGCATGACTTTCTCTTCACAAAATACACCGTGTGTCAGTGCAGCTCTTCACAAAATGATGGTAACCTTGGCAATGTCGACCCAAAGCTAGCAGTGAGACAAGGCATCTGAGACAATAGTAATTGCCTCTGACATAGGTAACCCTGCTTTCCACAGTCGCGTGGCCGCAGAATACAGGGCGCTGTTCCGCTTTGAGCGGAGATAGCGAGCCGCTTCAGCTTGGTTTGGACGGTTTCGGACGAGGCGCAAAGCATTGGGCACCTAGCCGAGCCATGCTTTGGTTGGTGACATGAAGATTCTTGGCATCAATCTTTTGTAGGTGCTTGCGATTCTAGTGAGATAGAGGTTGCTTGTGGTTGGGACAGCACAAACATGATTTGAAGTTACACAACACGTGTTCTGATTCTGAGTTTGAGACCGCTTCAAAGTCTTGGCCTCGATACCTTTCGGGCGCGCGCACAGCAGGACCAACAGCTGGCCCTCGATTTGGAAGAGCCCTCAGCAAGCCGTGGAGTCGTTCAAGTCGCTAGTTGAATTGACAAGCAGCACAATGTATGATTAAAGATGATTAAAGGATATTAAAGGGTCACTAAAACTGGGTAAGACAGCTAGGAATCACACCAGCTGACATCCAGCAGCGGCTCATGAGACATTACATTGTTTGCAATGTCTTCCAATGCTTGGGCAGCGGGATGCATATCAAAAGGGTATGTTCCTCGCAAAGAAAAGGGTATTCAGAAAAGAAACATGACTCCATCGCGCTGAACCTTCTCCAACAAAACTTCTCCAACACAAGCGGTCGCTTGACAATTGCTCAGGCCGAAACTCATCAGCGCGGCATACTTCCTGAAGCTGCTAGCTTCATCGTGGCTGACGGTCTTGGGCTCGATGAAGACTGACAGGAAACCGGCTTGTTGCAGGAGTTGGGTGCAGAATCACTGTTTTGATGTTTTGAAAGCAATTTTACTCTAGACAATCACAAAAGGGAGCCTGGCGGAGACCCAACACATCGGTTCGCCACATCAAAAGGCAGGAACAACATGGGTGTCCCTTGCCAATGCACATCGCTCATAAACCTTTTGGTCCTTCGATTGACCGCGTACGCAAAACAATGATCATCATTAGCGCACTGCTTTTTGACAGTCCTCAAGATCACATCCGAGGGATGCGCATTGTACCCAGTCTTCCGCCAAAACTCATCGTTGACGGTGTTCCGAGGGATGCCTGGCAGCTTTGGGTACGCTGGCCAGGTTGCCGCAATCTTGGGTGGTGAACGCGGCCAAGTCCATAACACTAGCTACATTTGGCAAAGAAAACTGCATCTAAGATAATTGTTTCTAAGTCACTCGATGACTTTTCAAGGATGTTGAATGGGAAGAAGCCCAATTATAATGAAGTGAAACGGACCCCAGAAGCTATATAGCACAAGGTACATAAATCTGAGACGCGGTCGAATCGGAAGAGATGTGGCGCCCCAGGGCCACCACAGCCAGTCAAATGACAGTGAGCAAAATTCTCGGAGAGAAACAGTTTCCTCAGCTGCATCGAATTTACGGCGTTCAAGAGATTTGCACTAATTACTGCAACCCCCCTGAGATGTACAAGAGTCCAGTCGCGATACTGGGTGACATAATTGACCTGGCGATGCCGCTGTTCTAAAGGACGCCGCTCCTTGTTGGACAACCACTCTTGGAGGCAATCTCGAAACTGTTCAGGGGTCCACAACTCCTGATGGGAAGCCAGCCAAGAACGAAGTAAGGAGAACATGGCATCGATGTCCTCGTGGCTGTGGCCACTTGAGAGGAAACCAAGTTCTCCAGCTTTGATTTTGGATTGTGATACCCAAAGGGCCATGGCCCTAAAAAGGGTATTATTTTTGGCTTCTTTCGTGCAGTTGTCTGCTTGCAGACTGAGCACGCAGGACCGGAGATCCACGGAGCGCCCCAGCATTGTGAGCCCATTGGCAACCAGTTCGCAGGATCGACTGCTGTTGGCCGTGCAGTGATGCGGTGAAAGGTTGATGGATACGCTGTGCCCATGAAGTATCAGGGTGGTGGATGTGAGTCGTGGTCGGTTGAAGGAAGCGAAGTCTTTGCTATTCATAGTCTTGCTACGTGGCCACGAGTGTTTCTGGGCATCCATGGAGTCGATGATCCCGCTGATGCAAAACACGCATGGGTGATTTCGCTGTAACCTGGATTGCGCACGTATATCCCAATATGTTTGTCGATCGCGGTGTTGACGGGATAAATGGCGCTGAAGCAGGTCTTCCTGAACACGCCTCGCAGCAGGACAGTGTCCCAACCGACGCAGGATGAGTCTGTGTCTGATACATTGCGAGCACTTACTGTGGTGTTGGGCAAAGCGTATGCGTAGTTTCCCATCAAAGTCATCCTGCCAAACCTGAACACATCCCAAAAGCATTGGTGTCGGGCTTACACATTCACGCATTACGCACTGGGAACTAAGAAAAGTTATGTTATTAAGACAGGCTACTGCAGTGAATAGTTTTTTGCTCACGCTGAGATGTGGCAAAGAAGCTTTGCACTGCAGGTAGTACTCGTGTATTGATCCCGGAGGAAGATGTTTTATCTGCGAACGATCCATCTGACGATCAAAGCGGTTGCTGCCCTGTCTTGGGCGTTTGTTGCTGTTAAGGCCATCAGGAATGACCTCGGCTACCTCTGTGTACAACTTGGTGAGGAATTGGTGAACTGCCACTCGTTTATCTGAAGGCGCTTGCTTGCCTCTGGGGATGTAGCGCGCATCGTACGGGCAAAAGGGTTCACCCTTACGAGTGGCTGCCCTCATGCGAGCAAACCGACCCTTGCCAATGGCCATGAGCTTCCGAAATGCACTGTTACACACAGGGTGGCCCTCATAAGAAAGATGTCGAATGCCAGGGCACGAAGGGTCCTGCTGTGACTTCATGATGTCATAGACCTGCAGCGTGAACACAAGTTCACGCTGAAGGCGCTCTAGAAAAACAATTGAAATGATTTCTCAGCTGCGTAATTTCATGTTTAACAAACGGTGGGTGGCAGGTGGGCTTGAACGAGATCTAAGAACCAGGCATGTTGATCCTTTTCTCGCTTGGTCATCTTGTCGAAAAGCTTTCGTAGACTAAACCACACTCGCCACAAAGCACCGTCCCGAAAGGGATGGAAACACGACAAGGTGGGTGCAGCCACAGCGTGACATGATCAAGTGTCGCAGCAGTTGTGGGTTTGCTGTATTCTTCTTCTCACACGAAACCCGTTTCTTGCCAGGCCGTCGACGACCCCAAAGGACACGCTTCGGAGGCCGAGACTGGGGAAGAGCTTCCTCATCGCTCAAACGATCCACACTTGGCAATGGCGTAGAGTGCGCCTGAAGCCGATTGAGTGCAAATAGGCTGTCATAGAACGGGTGTGTTTAAAATCATTTGTGAGATTTTGTGAGTAGAGGTTGTAGAAGGCTATGGATTCGGCCAATCAGATCCGTCAGTACCCAACGGGCCTTCCCAGTTTTCAACTCATCCAGGGAATCTTCGAACATGCCGCTGCCGGTGCTCAGTCCTCGGGCAGTCGCAGGGGG